AAGCAGCCTTTCTTCCTGGTTTTAACTGGAAAAAAGGGCTAATAAAGGAGAACCACAAAGTGACATTTCCAATGCCTTAGCAGGCTTGTTTCCAAGTACACAATCCAATATCCAAATTAACATTCTCCTAATAAGGAATAATCTGCCTTTCTTATTTTTTGGAAAATTTGTTTGCCCCCTGGGTCAATGCGAATGCATGAAAACCTATGTAGAGAAATAACACTGCCAGGTACTCTTCTAAAAGTTACATTAAGTAGAATAATGGAACTTGGGCTACTTTATAAGTTATTATGTCCTTATTTACAAACCTTGCTAAATCATATTATTTCTTTAGTTTTGGGGTTAGCATGTTATTGTGAACCCAGTTAATAGTTTTTGTAAGCATAGTTATGACTTAATTTGTTCTGAGATTCCAGCAAATTGTAGTTTCTTCAACAATAAACCACTAATCATCGTTTAGTGTGATATATGAAACCATCTCTGGTAATACAATACAAGCAATTTCTTCCGTTAGATCTTTAATGATTTTAAGAACCCTGGGAATGGATGGGGAATATGTTTATAAAGAGATTTGCACAATTTTAATTTCATCTTTAGCTTTATCCTTGGTAGAAGGATGCCTTCCTTCCCAAAAGCATGGATGGTCCCAGATGGAACTGCAGTTAGAAAGGCTGTTTAAAGGTATGGGCTCATCACTTTTTTTCACACTAACATTTGAATAGGAGGTTCAAGGATTAAAAAGCAATACCCACATAAATCAGGTAAAGTTGAAAGAGTTTATTCAGCAAAGCAGATCAAAACAATAACTTGAACTGCAAAGTATAATGTAGACAAGAAATATGCACAGATAAGGAAGGCAGGAAAACAAGACAGCAACACTCAGTAGAGGAATATATGTATAGGAGATAATCTCATATCCCTTTATCTCTATGCCCCTCACCCTCCTCAAAAGAAGGTGCTGATCTTGCCTAGATGATTCCAAGAAGTATATGGCACCTTTCCCAAGTACAGTTATACTAAGTTTCAAAATATTTCATGAGTCTTTCATCTTTTATACTTAAAAAAAAAATTGGGAGGATGGTAGCATATATAAAACAAACCTTGGAAGTGGCTTTTGGCATATCTTATCAGTAGCAGGGATGAAACTCAATAATTCTCAAGCGCATTTCAATTCCTATCAGCCTTAGTATACATCTATCTATCCTCCCTTCTCCAGGCATTGGATCAGGGTCCATGTGTAATCACTTCCAATTTATATCAAGTTGTGAGGTTTCTGAAAGCTTAGATAATGTTTTATTAGAATTATATATCATCCTAATTACACATTTTGCTTTTTTCATTTCTTGTGGTTATCAAAGGGTTATGTGAGATAGTACCAGCAGATCCATCCGGCCCACCTTTCATATGTCTGTTCTTGCCAAAGCACTTCTAAGGGAAAGAAGTAATAGTCTTGAGCTAAAGTGTGTGAGAACCAGTTTGGTGTAGTGGATAAGGCATCAGGGTAGAAACTGGAAGACTGTGAGTTCCAGTCTTGCCTTAGACATGAAGCCAGCTGGGTGACATTGGCCCAGTCACTCTCTCTCAGCCCTAGGAAGGAGGCAATGGCAAACCACTTCTGGAAAACCTTGCCATGAAAACCACAGGGACCTGTCCAGGCAGTTGCCAGGAGTCAAGAATGACTCGAAAGCACAAAATATCAAAGTGTTTGAGCAAATGACCATTTAAGAAGAAAAAAGTATTAGAGGTCTGCGTACTTTTGGAAAAGCTAAAGTTTTAACTAGCCATATTATGTGCATGCATGACAAGGGAAGGCATTTTATACAAGAAAGCACAGGGAAAAATAGGCCACATTGTTTACTCCTCTTTGCCATTACAAGTGTTTTCCACAATAGCAAAACACCCTGATCCTCACTTCACTACAGATCACGAATTATCAGCCTGTGGCATGCCAGAGGCTGCCAAACATACATATTAGCATCTGTAAAGTGCATTGAGAGTAATTAGGGAGCCAGGATTTTGCTGAGCAATGTCTAGAGTTCTATGATACTTCTAGTTTGAGAGGCTGAATTTGCCAACTTATTCCTTTATTCAGAGACATAAAGGAAAAGAAAGGAACATGAAAAATTGTGGTAAACAGAATAGAAACTACACTAAAAGAAATTTTCAGAACCTCCAGAGTTTAGAGAGGACAAGTCTGATATTCTTATTTCTCATGCTATAAATGATTGGATTGAACAGGGGGGGAAGAAGGGAATACAGAACAGTCAACCCAAAAGCTAAGTAAGATGGGGTGTTAGAGGGAGGTCTCAGATAGGCAAAGCATCCGGTTAATAAAAACATAGCCACTACTATAATGTGGGGAATGCAAGTGGATAAGGCTTTTTGCCTTCCATGTTCAGAAGGGATTCTGAGCACTGCCTTGAAGATCATGGCGTAAGAGGCAATAATAAAAGTAAAACACCCTAGTCCTGCAATGGCACTGGCCACAAGAACTCCAGCTTCAACCAGATTGAAACCAGAACAGGATAACTTGAGCAACTGTGGAATTTCACAGAAGAACTGGTTGACCACATTAGAACAAAAAAGAATTGAAAAAGTGCCAGTGGTATGCACTATTCCATATAGAAGACTGGTGACCCAAACCAGAAACATTATTTCAATGCAGGCTTTCCAATTCATCACCGTCTCATAGTGCAGTGGGTTGCAAATGGCAACATACCGATCATATGCCATGACTGTCAGGAGGGATAAATCAGAAGCTGCAAAGGAAATAAAGAGAAAGACTTGAGCAGCGCAACCAAAGTAAGAGATATGCCTGGTGTCCATGAGGGAATTCAGCATGGATTTTGGGAGAATGACAGAAACCGAGCCCATGTCCTGCACAGCCAAATTTATCAGAAAGAAGTACATGGGGCTATGCAGTCGATTATCTAAAGCTACTGCAGAGATGATAAGAAGATTTGCTGTTATAGTTGCCAGATATAACACAAAGAACAGGAAGAAAAGTAAAAGTTGCAGATATCTATTTTTTGAGAATTCCAGGAGCAAAAAGTAAGGCAATGTGGTTTGATTATCCATCCTTATCTTATGACTTTAATTTAATTTAAAAGCAGAGGTGGGAAATACAATTAGATAAAAACAGTGAAGTTACAGCTTGATATAAACTGAGGACAGAATTGAAAAAATGGAGGGAAAGCATGCCAAGAATGAAAAGAGAATCAAACAATTCAAAGAATGGATGCACTACATTCCTGTGTCCAATCACAGCCCTATCCATATATTTCAATCCAACATTGACTAAGGCCCTAACCATCAACCTTTTTTTTTTTTCTTCTTCTACTCCATTCTTTTCCTTCTTGCAGTGGTTAAAATGTTTGCCTAGGACTCGGATGACCTTGTCAAGTCCATCTTCAGTGGAAGTTCTCTGGAGTTTTTGGACCAATAAGTATCTCTTCTTGCAGAATTGTTATAGTGGTGGAAAATTGGAGTCAGGGCTCCCATACAGAGGAGCTCCTGAAGGAAAGACAGGATACAAATCTAGCAGAGACATAATAAAATTAATTGTTATGTCTTTTACTTTGAAAGCTTGTGGGAAGAGACTTCCAATTGCCTGAATTTTTGTAACACAGAAACACAGAGAAATAGAGACATATAGATACACACACACACACACACAGAATCATTTTATCACCTGCTCTGGGAATGTTGTGACTAAAAAAAAATAACTTAATACTTTAAACAAAGAAATATTATTTGAACATATCTATATAAGAGATATTCATACACAGTATAATAGTACATTAAAGTACATGAATGGTGGATTAGAATTTTACAAAAGAAAACATTATTATTCACATTTCATTTTTACCAGGTGGTTCTTAAAATTGCAATATATGAGGAAAGCATGTATTTTTATCAAGAATTAGTAAGGAGGACATCTTCATATTCTGGTCAGAATTCTCCATTTAAAATTTCCTTATCTTCAAAATTTGTTTAAAATTGAAAATTAAGAACAGTTTAATATGGGGAGCAGTTGCCAAGGACGATGATGATTTATCTTCAATGTTTTCAAGCAGGGGCTGAGAGTCATCTGTCAAAGATACTTTAATTTGGATTCCTCACCTGAGCAGGACGGATTCAATTTCCTAGAGAGCCCTTTCCAACCCTGCGATTCTATGAGATACTTCTGTGAATCTTGGTTGCCACTCACACTCTTCATAAAATGTGTTACTTATAGTTTAGTTTTTCATTTTTTAAAATTATTTTTAATATAAGCTGCACAATTACTTACTTTGATATACATGTCTAGCTAAACAAGAACTTAAACCCCCACCGTTAAACATTCCAACCAAATAAGGACATTTCTCTTTCTCTAAATATGAATGAACAAAACATCAGCATCCTTTTAACAGAATAGTGTTAATGTTTATCACCAGTAATAAAACTTTTCTAGGAACTCACCCTCTTTTATCCTTTATGTGCAAACAAACCTAAAAATGACTTTGACCATGCTAATTCACTTACTAGTTATTAGTTCACTCAATAATTTTATTTCAATATTGAACATTTGCTTCTAAATTTCTGCAGACTCTTTCTACCTCTATTATTAATCTGTACAATCAGCATGTTGGAGAGGTACCTTCATGTTTAATATGCACTTGATCTGTTGTTTAGGATGTGCATACAACCGCCACTCATTGATTCTCTATTTTCTATGTCATACTACTTTCAATCTATCTTTTAGGGTTCAAATGTCTGAAAACAAATCTCTCCTTGTTGTCTCCCTTCCCATAACATATTCTATGCTAGTAGAACTTTGGGTTCTAATATCATTTCATTAAATCCTTTTCTCAGTGTGAAAATTACAGAAGCAAAACGTATGTACAGTCATGTAATGCATATTTAAATAAATGCCAATTTATGTCAATAAGAAGGGAAATATTTTTTCTATCCAATCTCCAAAATGCTTATGATGCTATACTTACTATTTTTCTTCATAGAATTATTGTGTCTTCTGATATATACTTTTTAGACTGTTAAACATTGGTCTTGTAATAAAGGGAATCAAAATACTATTCAGGTCTACCTTGAGTGGAAAATTTTGAGTTTATATTCAGCAAGCTTATTAATCATTTTGTGTCCCTTAAGAGACAATTACATAACATAAAATATACAATCAAAACTAGACAAAATTTTAAAAAAATCAACACCTGAGTTCTTATGGATGTGATTAGCTGTATTATGAGTCATCCCATTGTGTTATACAATCATAGCTGATCTTACCAACAGAACTGAGGCTGAAGGTCACCAATGCTCACTTTCCAAACTGAAAATTCAGTTATAGATCAAATAGGAAAACTTTGCAGAAGTATATTCTGGAACAGTTTTAATCATCTGGGATTTTATTTCATTGCTGGTTGTCATAGTACCTTGTGATACCAATGGATTCCATAAATTCATTACGCATAGTTTACAGATATACTGTGTTTTAGAACTTCTATCCATTTAATTAGTTGGCCCAGTTTCTAATATTGTCCAATTAAAAAAAAAACTAGCTGGTTTTGCTACTTCATGGAACATTTTATCAGTGTTTATTATATCCTTACTTAGTCAAAATTTTAAAAAAACCCTATACAATCTCAAATATTCTACCTTTTTCTTTCTTTTTTTCCAATAATTTTATTGGGGATTATTTAAAACAAATACAACTAATGCAACAACATAATACAGAAATACCTCATGGGGGAAAAATCCCCTATCACCTTTATGGGTGGTATGTGTCTTCCTCGATCTCAGGTCCTCTACCAGAGGCTTGGGAGCTTGAGGGTTCTGCATAGTATCTTAGCTGTTCCTAGCACTGCACTCTTCTGGACAAAGCGCTCTGATGTTGTTCCTGGGACATGTTGGAGCCACTCTCCCAGCTTAGGAGTCACAGCCCTGAATGCTCCTGCCACCACTGGGACCAGTTTGGCCTTTACTTTCCACATCCTCTCTAGTTCCTCCTTCAGGCCCTGGTATTTCTCCAGATTCTCAGACTCCTTCTTCCTGATGTTGCTATCACTTGTCACTGCTACATCTATCACCACCGCTGTCTTCTGGCCGTTGTCTACTACCATGATGTCTGGTTGATTGGCCAGTACCTGCCTGTCCATCTGGATCTGGAAGTCCCACTGGATCTGAGCCCTGTAATTCTCCATGGCCTTCTGTAGAATCTCCCATCTGGACCTGGGAGGGTCTAGCCTGTATACTGTGCAGATGTTCCTGTACACATTGCCAGCTACTTGTTTGTGCCGTTCAATGTATCCTGTTCCTGCTTGTATCATATACCCTTCCATTGTATGTTGAATTGTCTCTGAGGCCTCTCTGCACAGATTGCACCTTGGGTCCTATCTAGGGGTAGACTCTTGCTTCTATGG